AGATGGTTTAACAATATAACTCACATTTAAAGTTTCCAATGGGAATACCATTGCGCGGAATTGCGCGCAACTGTGTGAAGGGAGATGCGAGCAAGTGCTCTAGTATTGCGCGGAATTGTGCGGAATTGCGCGAAAATTACAGGGGCCGCAATTTGCATGCAAGTTTGGAAACCCCAATAATATTGTGTTCAATGACTCCATGAATATGTTAGCTTTTTCTTATGATCTGTTAACAGAATTTTTGATATAGTTTACAAAATGTTATGACTTTTTCACTAAATGTCAGTTTTAGCCAAAAAATGTTATGTTTTTTTTTAATATAAAAGGAATTTTTAACAAAATGTTCGTGTTAAGCATGGCAATGTTACACTTGGCTATCAACATGATAATAAAAATGAAATCGATTTCTTTGCAAAGAAACTAAACACTTAAGTCTTGCCTCAAACTCTTTATGCCTTAATAGTGTTAACATTTGATAAAGATATTTTGCTATTAGATCTAGAAAGATTTATGATCAGGTCTTCAACACAAGGTCACAAATATATAAGGATGGGAAGTTTAAGGGGTTTGAAAAGAAAAAGGATAAAAGTGCACTGTGAATCAAGATGTTCACGTTCTCACGCAAAAATCAAACAGTATTTTGCCAATTACGCCTTTTAAACTAAAGGTAATAACAAGCACTTTGCAAACCTAGAATGAATATGCATAGGGATACAAAAACTTTAATTACATGGAGAGGTAAACCCGATGTTCAAGCCGTTGCGACGATTTTAAACTTTGATGAATAACTTTCATAGTTGTCTGAACATCTGAGAGTGAGATTTGTACCTTTTCTAAAGGTCAATTTACATCTTAAAAGTCGTTTTAAATATTTAAATAAGTAAATAGAGATGGAATAAAACCATTCCCAATTCCTACAATTCTTAACAAGTTAGTGATCTGATTTAATTTGAACAGTTCGACTCTATCAGATCTAAAAGGAATTGAGAAGTATTTATACCAAAAAAATAATGTTGAACCGTTTTGAAACTTTTTGAACTTTTTTCAAAAAATTCTTTCAAAAGAAAAAAATTAAATATTTTTATTTTTCTGAACTACAAAAACGAATAATTTCTATAGTAGAAGTTTAAATATTTATAAAGATTAGAATTTCCTTGATAATGGATCGCTTGGCAGATTTTATTATTTATTCTTCTAAAGTTGTAACTTTTATAAACATTCTTGTAATTTCGAATACAAAAAAAACTTTCTATTAAAACATTTCATACAGTTGTGTCTTTTCTGCTTGTTTTTTATATACAATAAATGTTTAAACGGCTAAACAGATCGGTCTCAATTTTNAAATTCACTTATGAAATCAGCAAAATATTTGTAAGATTTTCTTTATAATATTCTGGCAATATACGAAGAAAAATTTAAACTATTTCCTAAAACAGGGGCTGGAAGGATCCTGTATTAATAGATAACTTTCTATTATAATTATTTAATTATGTAATTGATTAAATACTGTAGAATTCCTTACCCAGCAATTCATTAATTAAGTGATTAATTAAAAAATAATGAATTAATTGTTTGTATTTACATAATCTCTGGTAATTCTTTCCACAGAGAATAAAAGAATTTTTATTAGGCTAGAGGCTAGAGAGCTAGAAAACCCATACTTAAATGAATCTAAAAAAAATCATGACATTTGTATAAACAAGAATGAATGAGATATTCATTTTTGTAAATGGGAAAATTGATTTTTTTCATTTCCACTTTTTTCAATAATTTGGCTTTCGGATTTTTGCTACAGAAACAATGGAGGAAATTGTCAGTAGAAAAAAATGTTAAAGCTAAAGACACGAATAAATCCGCCCCCCCCCCTTCATTGGCCTATCCTCAGTATTTAGTCGGTGATGCATGTTTGTTTTCAAGTATGTATCATCCTGTTCCGAGCATGTGTTTGTACTGATAAGGTTTAAATAGTATTCATTATAGGTATATTCAGATATACCTCAGTTCTTAACAGCTGGTTAACACAGCTAAAAAATAATATTGTTGTGTTCCAAACGTTGAAAATGTTATAAAACGCATATATAAATTAAATTCTCATAAATATAATTGATACAGTTTTTCGATAAACAACTCAGTTATTCACAGCTGTTAAACATGGTTAAAAATATTTTCGTAGATGTAGTGTATNTATTATTGTTGTGTTCAAACTAACTAAACACGGTTAAAAATTTTATCACTGTGTTCAAACTAACTAAACACAGTTAAAAATATTAACTAAAACTTTGATAAAATTCAAAGAAAAGTATAAATGTTATAAACATGGAAAAATCTCATAAATATCGTTGATAAAATATTTCATTAAATCGTGAAAAATATTAACAAAAACTTTGACAAAATTCAAAGAAGTAAATTTTGAATGATTTTATATTTTAAAGTTAAACAAAAAACTTTTCATGTCTTTTCGGAACCTTGCAGAAAACCCATAATTCCTTGAAAACACGATGCCATTTAACTGGGCCTTATATTTAATACCATTTTTCAGTTGAAATTTTGTTTTTGCAAATGTTTTTTGCAAATGGTACGCAATTAATTCAATCGGAACCATTTTAGTTTTTTATGATGCAATTCTAAAAGTCAAATTATGCAAAAAATAAATTACGTTTAAATTACACAATGATGGTTAATGGCGATGTGAAAATTCTAACAAATTTTATTATCAATATTTAATCATTTTACCAATTTCCGATATTGGTAATTAATTATTCTTTTGAATAATAGATGATATACATAATTTGCCGAATTTCTATTAATCATAATTATTCTTTTCGCTGAAAATATTTATTTAATGTTTATTATTCATTTAAAAAAATAATCTTTTGCCTTTTGTTTTAAATCTTTTATTGCATTTGTAAATGCCATTTTTGTCTAAATAAAATGGTTTTCATTGTTTCAAAATATTTTTTTGACCCGTTTTTCTTTCTTTCTAACTTATCCTGTAGAAGATCAAGTTCCATTTATTTAAAGCCTTTCTTTATTAAAGAAAAAAAGGATAATTTGTTAGCTGTCCTCTTTCCCTTGATTTGGAGAGATTGTCCGCTAGAAGGACAGAGTGGAGGGGGTGGGGGGTGAGGTTATTTATTATACTCATTTCGGGAAAGGTGGGTAAAGCTTTAATATATTAAACTTCATCAAAGAAATCGAAGAATGAAAAGAAAAAAGATTTAATGTTGGTCTCTAGTTTTTTTAACCTCTTCATGTTTTTTTTAGGGGATAAAAGCCATTGATACTGTATACAATATCAATGTATGTATAGTGTACAATATCAGTGTATGTATAATGTACAATATCAATATATGTATAATGTAACCAATATTAATGTACTCGTATGTATAGTGTTTAATATCAATTATGTACAAATAATGTATACAATATCAATGTACTGTATGTTATAGTGTATAATATCAATGTATGTATAATGTAACCAATATCAGTGTACTCGTATGTATAGTGTTTAATATCAATGTATGTACATATAATGTATAACCTCTTCATGTTTTTTTTTAGGGGATAAAAGCCATTGATACTGTATACAATATCAATGTATGTATAGTGTACAATATCACTGTATGTATAATGTACAATATTAATGTATGTAAAATGTATACAATATCAATGTGCTCGTATGTATATAATATCAATGTATGTATAATGTAACCAATATCAATGTACTCGTATGTATAGTGTTTAATATCAATTATTTACTTATAATGTATACAATATCAATGTACTGGATGTATAGTGTATAATATCAATGTATGTATAATGTAACCAATATCAGTGTACTCGTATGTATAGTGTTTAATATCAATGCATGTACATATAATGTATACAATATCAATGTACTCGTATGTATAGTGTATAATATCAATGTATGTATAATGTAACCAATATCAATGTACTCGTATGTATAGTGTTTAATATCAATGCATGTACATATAATGTATACAATATCAATGTACTCGTATGTATAGTGTATATTATCAATGAATGTATAATGTATACAATATCAATGTACTCGTATGTATAGTGTACAATATCAATGTATGTATAATGTATAAAATACAACACATTTCTTTTTATTAACGAATGCTAAATTTGTTTACAACGATTAAACATTTGTTCGAACAGTTTAATAAAACTAAATTTTAGAATATGAAAAAATTATGAATTAACTTTGAATCTTTATATTTCTTGGAAGTGACAGTTTATGTAATTTTATGTGGTGTTAGGTACTTTCCAAAGGCCCTTAGGGCGACTTCCCAAGTGACAATTTCCCAAGTGGCAACTTTCCAAATGTGCAATTTCCCAAGCGGCACCTTCCCAAATGATAGGTGAGGCTGAGAAGCTGCAGGCTGCAATAGGGGCCGAGCGCTGCGGCTAGGATGGGCTAGGGGGCCGAGTTCCTCTGCTAGAACAGGCTAGGGGCTTAGTGCTGAGGCTAGGACAGACTTTGGAAGTTGCCGCTTGGTAAATTGAACATTTGAGATGTTGCCATTTGGGAAAATACCCTTGGGAAGTTGCCACTTGGGAAAAATCTTTTGGGAAAGTACCTAACATCTTTTAAGTTACATGTTTATATTTATCAAAAAATTTTAATTTTTTAACTTTTAATTTAATTTTTAGATCAATAGTACTCTAACCATTAAATTTAGAGGTATAATTTTAATATTTTATAAAAATCAATATTTTTGTTTGGTATAAATAATAAGTATTTAATGTTTCTATTTTACACTGAAACCTTAAAAAATCATCACTTATCGGTTTATTGAATAGTTTATGTAAGATATGTAAATACTAAAACAATTTTCTTTTTCAAAAACGTCAAAAGATTGGATTTTTATGAACACAATAATATTTGAAAAATTTATAATGATTTTATAATAGTTTTTCGTTTAATTTTGATGAGGATCACATAATTTACAATTTTTGTTAATTTCAGAAAACAGCTATGTATAAAATGTAAAGGATAGAATGCAAGCTGAGAATATGACTGGTTTTCTTTTTATCATTGTGCTTCATCTAGCTTCAGGTACAGAGTTTGTACTGTGTACAATGTATTTAGGTACAGAGTTTGTACTGTGTACAATGTATTTAGGTGCAGAGTTTGTACTGTGTACAATGTATTTAGGTACAGAGTTTGTACTGTGTACAATGTATTTAGGTGCAGAGTTTGTGCTGTGTACAATGTATCTAGGTACAGAGTTTATACTGTGTACAAAGTATTTAGGTACAGAGTTTGTATTATGTACAATGTATTTAGGTGCAGAGTTTGTACTGTGTACAAAGTATTTAGGTACAGAGTTTGTATTGTGTACAATGTATTTAGGTGCAGAGTTTTTACTGTGTAAAATGTATCTAGGTACAGAGTTTATACTGAGCCCAAAACTTAAGACAGGTTATCGTAATGACAACCAGTTTTGAAACCCGGGTTTCGCAAATGGGGTTAGGCAGTTTTGTGGATATCAATATTTTTGTTGTGAAATATTATTTTATTTATTTTCTTCATATTCTCCATTTTTTTAAATCTCTTAAATCAAAATCTACACAAATGTTAAAACCCCAAAAAGGAAACTCGAGATTTTCGTTCAACAATACTCTTTTAAATTTCGAGCTCTGTGTACAAAGTATTTAGGTACAGAGTTTGTACAATGTATTATTTGCATTTGTTTTTTTACTCCATTTTCTGATTACAGACCTAATTTGATTAGATGTCAGCCTAATTCACATTTTCAACCTTCAAAAGAAGGACTAATAATCGAAAATATTCTAGAAAATTTGGAATAACCTTTTAACCCACTAAACGTAGTTTTATTGTACTAAAACGTGTTTCAGGCAGGGGTGTATATTAGTTGTGAGACTCATATTTTTGCTCCCACCCTTTCGTATACATTTTCTTGTTTAAGAGTAACTCTTATTGTTCAGAAGTATCTCTTCCATGTTTAAGATTAACTCTTCCCTGTTTAAGATTAACTCTTCCCTGTTTCAAAGTAACTCTTCCATGTTTAAAATTAACTTTTCCCTGTTTCAGAGTAACTCTTATGTGTTTAGAAGCAACTCTTCCATGTTTAAAATTAACTCTTCCCTGTTTCAGAGTAACTCTTATGTGTTTAGAATCAACTCTTCCATGTTTAAAATTAACTCTTCCCTGTTTCAGAGTAACTCTTATGTGTTTAGAAGTAACTCTTCCATGTCTAAGATCAACTCTTCCATCTTTAAGAGTAACTCTTCTTTGTTTACGAGTACATTTTCCATGTTTAAGAGTAACTCTTCCTTGTTTACGAGTACATTTTCCTTGTTTAAGAGTACATTCTCCATGTTTAAGAGTAACTGTTATGTGCTTAGAAGTAACTCTTCCATGTTTAAGATTAACTCTTCCATCTTTAAGATTAACTCTTCCTTGTTTACGAGCACATTTTCCTTGTTTAAGATTAACGCTTCCTCGTTTACGAGTACATTTTCCATGTTTAAGAGTAACTCTTCCTTGTTTACGAGTACATTTTCCATGTTTAAGATTAACTCTTCCTTGTTTACGAGTACATTTTCCATGTTTAAGATTAACTCTTCCTTGTGTACGAGTACATTTTCCATGTTTAAGAGTAACTTAACCACCTTCTCTTCGGCTTGAACCGACATTCAAGAGAAGTGGTTGAACTGCGCCTACGTGGTTCAGCAACTTCTCACTGTTCACTTTCTCTTGGTATTAGGAGAACAAGTTTTATTAAAAATTATCCAATATGTGGTCGTTTTCAGGAATATCTGGATTGGGGGATTTTCCACATCTTCAAATTCTTCCATCAGGAGTTCAGGTTGGACAAAAAGATGTAAAATATGAAAATATCATGATTATACTTTCTCCAACTCTTGGGTTTAAACAACTATGTCATTTTGCCATTATACATTTCGTTGCAATACGACAACATCAACAGCTGGCTAATTATATCTTTAAGAAGAAAATCAAGCAAATATAAGCTTGGTGGTTGTAAATACTTTTATAACATTTCATTTTTGTTTGTAATTTTTACAATAATATTTGTCTAGGATATCAGACGAGGAAGAAACCTTGTGTTGACCTGCAGAGCTGCTGCAGTAAATCTAGAGCTAGTCAGGTCAATCATCATTCTTACTTATTTTGATTCATCCAACTTTCCTCGTGGGTTAGAAAACCCGTACACCTATTGGGACTTGACAATTTAGTCCTAAATACACCTAGAGGGACTTGACAATTTAGTCCTAAATACACCTAGAGGGACTTGACAATTTAGTCCTAAATACACCTAGTGGGACTTGACAATTTAGTCCTAAATACACCTAGAGGGACTTGAC